CCAATGCCAAGTGTCGGTTAGAGGGGTATAAAGCCCCCCAGCATTGGACTGTGGAGCAGTGGAGCTAGAGTGATAAAGCTCCATCCAGTAACTTTGAGATGAGCTGGAGTGGAGTTTGTGATCTAATCATCAAACGTCAGTACCTAACCTTACTAATGCTCTTGTAGCTGAACACAGTTAAGTCCTCACAGCAATGTTCCAACATCTAGTGGAAAGACTTCTCAGAAGAGTAGAGGCTGTTACTGCAGCAAAGAGAATGCAAACACCCTTTTTATACCCTTGATTTCACAAGAAACGTTGGATGAACAGGTTTCTACAAACCTTTCGGATGTATAGTGGATCATCCTGTATTCATCAACATAGCTTAAGGGTCAGTCCACTGTGGCTGTAGCACCTTCATGCAGCATATGCTGATTACCACTCCATATACTAATGGATTACTAATCAATAATCAAAAAACATTATTAATGAAGTGAATTAGAGCACATTTTGTGACTAGTTACCTTTTTTAGATTTGTCATTTTTCCTTTGTCTTGTCAGCTCTGCAGCTGACAGATAGGTACAAAATATGTATAAATTTAAGCATTCTCTCGGTTGCGTCACCTTTAGATTATGTGCTGTTTTGTAGCTTTGGCACTTATGTAACTCTGTCCACAATCTGGGTGCAAATTGAGCACACTCACCATCAGCTGTGTTGGTGGCTGATATGCTGCACTTACAGGGTTGAATATGATCAGTTGTTAGGGCAGCAGCAAGCAGTGTCAGCAGTCTGGATCTCAGGCTACCAGAACTAGAATTAGAAATAGTGGCAGGAATGCAGCAGTGTAAGGTTGCAGGACATTGTTAATGTGGCAAAAAACATTTCCCTTAGCCTATTATTCACTTTTTTGGTACCCCAATATAATATGTTCTTATGTCATCAACTAAAAATAAATAAATATATATATATATATATATATATATATATATATATATATATATATATATAGGTGCTGCTGAATATAATTGAAACAATTCCCTCTTCCTCAATTTAAAATCACATATTACTTGTAAATCCAAAAGTAGATCATCCAACTGAACAAATGCTAGTCTTGTATTCAAGAAATACAGAGTCTTTGATCACCTGAAAAAGCAAATCAAATGATTATCTGACTATGATAATGTGAAAATGTAAATCAAGCATTTAAATTACTTTTGCATTTTAAAGAACTGGTGTCACACATACCTGGTTACTGTTGGAAGACACAGACTATAGATGAATGTTCTTGAATATGTTTAAGGGAGTATTAAATAGCCCATATCCTACAATTTTTTATTTTTACTTTTCTTTGCAGCTTAGTAACCATTTCTGGGACTGTGTGGACAGGGGAGGGAATCATATGTTTTGAAACTTTAACAATGACTGTATCAGGTGTTTCTCAACCCTGGTTCTGGATGCCCACTGCTCTGCACTTTTTATTATTTTCCCTGCTCCCAGTACACGTGACCCAGCGATCCAACTAATCAGCTCATTAATAGCCATTTATTAAGTTAATGTGGCTGCTTTATAGCAGGAAAAGTGCAGGGCAGTGGGCCTCAGGACCTTGGTTAAGATACACTATATCTTATGGTCAATATCCTACACCAAACTTTTTCAAAAAAAAGTGAGATTTTTCCATGATATGGGCCCTTTAAATGAAGTAAGAATATAATAAGCTGTTTCTGAATCTCCAGTTGTCTTCATATATCCCATACTAAATCTGCACAGGGCCGCTGGTGCATGTCACTGTGTAGTGCTGAAAAGAATCTGCCTAAATCCACCTTCTTTCTTTGCATGTAGGATATCACCAACACTACAGTTCCTGTGATTTTCTCCATTCCAATAAAGAATGTAAGGTAGCCAAAACATCTATTACCATAGTTATATTAAAATTAGCCTATTTTTTGTAATTTGTAGTCATTCTAATAGGTCATATTCCAAAAAGTTTTCAAATGTTGCAACTTTTCCCCTAATTAGTCATGAAATATGTTTTTCCCACATGCAGGCTGAAAAAGATGACTTAGTCTGTATACATTCTGTTCAGTACCGTGTGCAAAGTCTATTGCTTTCATAGGGTTCACTATATAAATAGTTTAAAGAAATTTGGTAAACATTGCAAAGGCACTTTTGTCTAAACCCCTCTGCCTTTTCACAAAGGGAGGCATTTACTTCTTTACCCCAGTTTGTTAGATAACCATTAAATCCCTGCTTTGCTGATTTGGAGAATATTGGTTGGATTGATTGGAGATTTGCTGAAACAATAATTAACAACTGTGGCATTGTATCTGTATAATTTGCACAACAGTAATTGTCACTATATCAAGGCTTAAAACATACAATTGTAAGATTACTGGAGAAGTAAGTTGACATGAAAAGCACAATAACAACAGCATTATACAGGAAATGCTTCTGAGTCTTATTGTATTTAAGAAGTGCATTTAATCATATTTCATCAGCTGTACATTAAATTCCAGTCTGAGGCAAGCATGAGTTTTTAGGTTCTAGTTTTAGTTTAGCAGCTGTAGTAAAACATCTGACATTATGGACTCAAGAAGCAGAACACTATTAGTGCTGTAACAGGGTGGGTGAATAGCAGTCAAGACTTAAAGTGATTACAAAACCCACTCAGTGGCAGCACGACGGCTGGGGCTAAGATATGAATGAAAACAGGCCTAATCAGACCAGAGAAAAATCTAAGACATTGGTGCACTGTGGAGGTGGCCACGCAGAACACTATTCTATGTAATTGTCTTAACTCAAAAGGACTAAACACAAAAGAAAGGAGAAAATATCAATGTAGGAAGAAGACTTGTTTGAGTCTGCTTAGCATTTCGTCTCAGGTTAAGATGGAAAAGGGTCATTTTGGGTGGAACTGTGATGACCTTATTTGATTATATTATTATTTGATTGATCATTATTAGATTTTTACATTAAAGGGCCATATCCTATACTTTAATTGTATTTTATTTTTTCCCCTGAGGCCTTATAATATTTTTCTGGTTTTATGTACCAAACATGGTCATAATTTATTTTTCCATGACTGTTTTACAAGCTCTCTTTATCCCTTAGAACTAAACAGGCTGTTTTTGTTACTATACCTTTTAGATTGATGTATGACAGATAAACGAAAGACAAATGAGCTCTGTTCTGATTGAATGCCCTGTATTGTGCCTCATCTTAAAAGCACTTAGAGCTAAAATACTCCTTATAACTTCAGTGTTGGTGGGCAGAGCTAAACTGCTGTAGACTGAATAGGTTGACGTATGTAAATGAATTGGTTCTCGTGACATCACAGATACACTGAATCCAAAAAGGCTGTTTTTACAGCTTAGTTTCCATGTATGGACTGAATAGTGAATGGTATGTTTTGAAACAGTGTATACATATTACTTCAAATTCCTGTATTAAAAAAAGAGAGAAATTTGTTTGTTCATGATATGGGCCCTTTAAATAATTTTGTCCATAAGCAATGGCTATGTTAGAAATATACTGGGCATTGTATACTTTGTACTGCACTAGTGTATACTGTATACTGCATGTTACTCTTCGTAGTAGTATACAATACCATATCCAGTATATGACAAAAGCCATGTGCCATATTACAGAACAGGGGCACATCTAGACTGCCAACATTGGAGACTGAGCCAGTCAGATCCATCTCAAGACCCACCCCCATTTTCCTCAGCACACCAATCACTGCTTAGCAATAGTTGCTACCTGCTTTTCAGTGGGTACATTCATATTTTGGCCTGTGTGACTCTTAAAAGACACACCATACCATGACAGAGGGCAGGACGTTGTTTTCTACCCATCTTCAAAGCCCAAAATAAACTTTAAAAAACGGCAGCTGTGGAGTCGTAAACCTGTGTGGTTTCCAAACACACCAGTTTCCCTCCATTTGTGAGTCATTTATTTCATTTTCATGACATTTTGGTAATATGAGCTAGTTTTACTGAATAATAAGCAGACTGACTCCACATAGGGGCCTGAAAAGCCGATGCTGAGCGGGTTGTTTAGTTGAGACCAATTTTTCTGAGATACTGTTTTGTTTTTAATCACGTTATCTTTGCAGAAAGTTAACTTTATTAAATAGATGAAGTAAGCAAACCCACAATGACACTAGCAGAGAGTACGGGTTCAGTGTGGCACTGAGTGCTGCAGCATTTGGACACATTTCTTTCATTTTGCTGCTATTAATGTATTGAAAAGCTAATTTCAGGGAATATTAAAAATATTCAGGTGGTTATGTCAGTGGTTCCATCCTCCTGAAATCAACGCATTGCATTTTGGGATGCAGTATATTACAGAGATAGCTCTGACTGCATACTGGAATATTTGGCCGGAGCGGTACGTCACCCGGGTATCTTTGGCGTTCTGGAGAAATTCATGTTGGTCACATACTGCATACTACTTACTACATTTGGGCACAATCAGTACGCGAGCAGTATGTAGTAGGCTATTTTGAACACAGCCAGTGTCTAAGCAACCTGAGAGAAACCCGTCTTTATTTGTATTTGAGAGAATTTGTCTGTAAGAGAAGTCAAATGGCATTCCCATGCAGTGAGCAAATTTGAAAGATTTGCTGTGGGAAATACTTATCCCTCCCTTCAGCCAACGGATAGGAGGTGTACTCAAATAAAGTGAAGATGAGAAAGACATAGTGAGACTTGTAGGCCTACTCTCAATTCAGGGGTGTTTGTCTTTAAACTGGGGAATGGTCTAAATACTGTGAAAGGTGTTATGAAGCTTTTTTTCTCAGACCCCATGATGACAGCATAAAAGTTGGATGGTTTTAAAGCTTTTCTTTAATGTACATAGAGTAAAACTATAAAGTTAATAAAAGCAGCAGAAAAAAAACAACCAAACAGGATCTCATCCTGAATGACCAAACACCTTTAACTGCCTCAGCATGGTGTGCGGATGTCGTGGCGCCCCCCGTGTTGCTGTAGTGGTACAGTCCACTCAGTGGTTTGTGCCCAGGTTTCAGGGAGCGGACGAGGAGGAATCCAACTCGTGAAGTCTGCGTGCTGAGCTCAACGGCACTGACATGAAAATCCGAAAAGAACGCAGAAGCCACAAAAGAAATGTAAAAGGCAGAAGGCTCTGGATATACATAAACGCTACCAAACGTTTAAAACTCGAACAGTTCACACGCCGGATGTAATTTTCTTTTTGGCACGAGATAAGTAGACTGTAACAGATTGAACTTTTGGTGGAAGTAATGAAGAAGAAGCAGTGCTGCCATCACCTTCAAGTCGACAAATATGATCGGTAATCATGGGTATGTGACTGTGAGTGTTTGAGAGCCGCTAAACTGGTCGTTTGCATGCCGCCTTTGTTGTTTCGCCTCAAGTCCTTAACTACGTAAGAGAGAAGTCCTCAGAGAAGTGGAAGGAATGTGGGTGTTCTCCAGGAATTTCAAGTGAGCATAGAAAAGCTGCACATTTCAGACATCCTTTTCATTTCTGAGCAGACGTTTTGTTACACTGTTCCGAGGGGGGATCCGTATGCTGCTTTTCAGTCACCTTCATTTGTCATTTCAAACCCCTGCAAAAATGCTGGCAGTGAAGAGGAAACATGCCCACCGCCTCTTGACTCTATGTGTGCTGCTCCTTCTTTCCTGCTTTGGCCAAGTCTCATCTCTGGACTGTCCTGATAAATGTGTTTGCGCATCAGCAACGGTAAAATGCCTCTATCAGAACTTAATGTCCATTCCACAGCCTCTGCCAGCAAACATAACGACACTTTTTCTCACTGGAAACAGCATTTCCCATCTAAATGAGAGCTCCTTCCCTGTTCGTCTGGAGCAGCTGACAGACCTTTATCTGTCTGGAAACCAAATAGAGCAAGTGGACCCTGGGGTGTTTAACAACTTGCCAAATCTCCATTCACTTGACCTGAGCAATAACAGGATCCTCAGTTTTAGTCCTGATGCCATCCCTGAGAACAATAAGCTGCGGGTCTTAAACCTAAGCCAGTCTTTGTACAATGTCTCGTACACAGACATGTCCAACCTTTTAAAGCACAGTTTTCCTAAACTTTCCCATCTCAACTTGTCCAATAATGATCTGAAATTGCTTCCCGATGGAATTTTTAGCTTATCTGACCTCACCTCTTTGGACATGAGGAACAACTCAGTAGTCTCGATTAACAACGTCACTTTCAAAAGTCAAGTGTTTAACCATTTGGACCTGCGGGACAATGCGCTGAAAGATATACCAAATGGGACTTTAGCAGACTTCAGTCAGATACCTGGGCTTCAGATGTACCTGACTGAAAACCCATGGTATTGTGACTGCAAAATGAAGGACATGGTGATATGGTTACAGAAATTTGACTTTGTTGTGGACAAAGCGAACATGACCTGCTTTGAGCCTACAGAATTAAGAAACGCCCCACTCTTACAGGTTGACCAGACAATGCTGCAGTGCAACTATTCTGGAAACATGAAAGGTGTCATGGAGACGTCATATGTCTTTCTGGGTATGGTGTTGGCCCTCATCGGGGTTATATTTCTGCTAGTCCTTTACCTCAACAGAAAGGGCATCAAGAGATGGATGTACAATATCCGTGACGCATGCAGGGACCACATGGAGGGCTACCATTACAGGTACGAGATCAACTCGGATCCGCGTCTGGCCAACCTAAGCCTCAACTCGGATGTGTAAGGAAGTGGGGGGAAGTGTTTCACACAGTTGTTGCACAGTGACTCAGCTCTAGATTTGCGTAGTTTCCTCAAGCTTATGCCCTGATATGCGGTGTGCCGTGCCAGATAGGACATTAATTGGCCTCTGCTGGGGTGGACAAGTCATGCACGCCCCCCTGCTATTTTATGTCTGCTGATGTGTTGTGTCAAGTGTAAATATTGTGCAATGCTGCATGAATTAAGAACTCATTATAGAGCTTCATAAGTTCTTCTCCATAAAGTATTTTGGAACAATGCGGCGTGTGATGCAAGGATCTCTCTAATTCTAATGTCTGCAAGATATGCACACTTTTCGTTTGCGAAATGACTGAAATGAACATTTATACGTCTTAACATATGCTTGTTAATGCTTCCCTTTTTCCCCTCCTTAAAACTTGGATGATGTGGTACCATGCTTGCATGTGTTTCTGTACTTTTTCCAGTGGTTGTAATATCATAATATCCACATTTGACTATCAGAGTTGTCCGTTTTTATATTCACATTTGTTCAATGGACATGGATTGACTTTTCTTATGAATATGTTCTGCTGAATAAAAAGGTCTTGCATTGATCCCTCTTCTCCACTCCAGTGCTTTGAACTCCAGAGGGGAATCCGAAGCTGCTGGAACAGGAACAGGGATTAGGCATATTCTTACACATGCATACACACCCACACACAAATAGACACATATGTCACAGTGCCCTATATGTTAGAATATAAAAAAAACTCTGCCTATGTTTAAAGATCAGTTTTCATAAATGAATTAAAAATAGGGAAAGATTCCTAGAATTGTCTATAATTGTCATTTAATTTCATTGATTTTTTTTGTGGGGAGGGGTTTATCACCCCCTAAGAAAAATATGAGATACATATTTTTGTCAGATATAATACCAGAATAAATGTTGGATATTACCAGTATGGCTAGAGACTGCAGAACTAGAGCTGTTCCTGAAATAGACCTTAATAGCCAGCATTTACTGGCTTTTCGTTTGCAACTACTCCTCATAATCTCAGCACTACTTCAAAGCATTCCAGTTCCGTAACGGCTTTGTTTACGGATTAAGATAAGGAAAAAGTGTTTGAGAAACATTCATCAAGGGTTCTTGACTGATCACGGAAGTGAGGGAAGGGAACTTTTACATACTTTCACATTTTTTTGCCTATTTTTTGCAAGTAGATACATTAGTGATGTGGATGCATTGTTGATGATGCATTGTTAATATTTTAACCACCAACAATATTCAGAATTAAGAATCCCTTTTAATTGTATTTAGTGCAGTGCAGTATGTTAGATGTTAAATAAAAATCATTGTATAATAGCATTTGCTGGTATTTTAAATCTGGCACTGCTGGTGCTTTTTTGTCTGCTACAACTTATCGAACCTCAGAAAAACTAAATATACATGTAGTGTATCATGAAAATATCTTGAAGAATCTTGATGATAGATGTTTGCCACATTGCCCACCTCTGCCCATGCATGAGTTGCAGTTTTTTCACATTTAGATGTACATATATAGACAATTTAAACAGAACATAATTCTACATTTGATGTTCTGTAAGTAAAATAAAATAATTTTAATGCTTTTTACTATCATGAGGTACTGATTTTTGGATTTTTGGAAATAATTTCTTCTGAATACTTTATACCTGCAAGTTTATGAAGTAAAGATGGGTGTTTGATAAGTTTACAGAAGTGAGAAAAAGGGGGACTCAACAATTAAAAAAAAAAAAACGAAACTATTAGGTCTGGAGTTTTTTCAGCTGTACTAAAACCTTAGAATCTTCCATTTTTAAATTATAGCATAAAATGTAATAAACATTCTTAATGAAGTCTTATCGAAGGAGTAATAATGTCTGTCATAGAGCAGACCACCCACAGGGCTGAGCACACACAGACACCTTGGTTTTGCGCCTCTCCTGCTGCGTACCATGCCACCCAAACAATCCCTACTCTTCAGTGGTGAGGTGCAATGTTTATGTGATGCACTTAACTAATGATAACAATTCATTCTTTGTTAGTGCTCAGTGATGATTAATATTTGATGAATCCTTCTTTCACTTCTTTGTCTCTGGAATTGTTTGGACGTTCTGTATGTGTGTGACCAGATGTCAGGTTTGAATGTGATGGTCATTGTCAGGATCTGTTAAGTGTCCCAAATGTGAAGCAATTTTGTAATTGAGGAGCAGATTGTTGCAGTGCTGGCTGCTTCAGTTGAAATGAGCTCAAGCAAAACCTGTGATCAGTGGTAATTCATCCAGCGAATCAGGCCTCTTTATCGCTATGTTTGTGTTCTTGGCCATTGTCAGGTGTCTCTCAGATCTCCAGTAAGGCTGGTGAAACTAGAGGATGGGACAGGACGAGTAATATAATCTGCTCTGTCTGGAGTGTCAATGCTTCTTCTTTCTCCAGCCAAGCATGGTGTTGTAGGACAATGGCTGCTTCCGCAGGCTGGAGATGTAAAGGTATGCCCATGGCTTGTAGAAATGCGGGTCTAAGGAGACACATTCTGTGGGAAAATGGCAATGTAAATGTACCCTCAAACGTACAACAGGTCCAACCTTGAATCTTAAATGTGTATTTCCCAGGAAGAAGTTACATACTTTTCATAAACTATTGTTTTGAAACAGAATGGTAAAATAAAAAGCCTGGAGTCGAAACAGGGTGTGTGGCGTCAATACAACTTAAAAAAAGATATTTTCAATGAAATATAATACAATTATGATCTATAACTAAAAGTACTGAAGATGTACTCTTGAGGGTACCGGCCTAGTGACAGTTTGGTACTTTGTGTATGTGTGTATGTTTTTTATGTTTGCTGTTAATTTCTTCCTATAATAACATTGTACTTGTGTTTATGGTTTATGAGCTGAGAGTAAAGGCTGAGCAGAGGTTAATGCTTGTATCAGATAATGGCTCGTTGGGTGTAATAGAGCGGCTGATGACACCCCGAGGATGGGCCACACCCTCCCTAGAGGAGAGGGCTCGGGCTCCCCTCTCTGGGGAGGAACAGGTGCCTTCTATCTCATGTTTCCACGGCGACGATCTCGACCTTGCGCACTTGCTGTGTGGCAGGCGGCACATGGTAGACTTTTATTAACGAGTTTGAGCTGCGCACCTTGTCCATGCCTGGTTGAGCAGGTGTAATTAGGGGTTGAACAATAAAGGATTGTGTGGGAGAGTTTTAAGTGCTGTAGAAGAAATTTTTCTGTGTGGTGGTTGAGGTTGTATTTTGCAGTAGAGACCTTACTCTCCTTGTATTGCATATTAAATTGAACTCCTAATATGCTAAATATTATGGCGTTTTAATAAAAATCCCTCACACAGCTATTTGTAGTGCTCAAACCTTAAATAAAGGTTGAATAAATAAAGGATGAATAGCTGATGTTTTGTGAGTACAAGTGTACCTTGCTGTCATATCACCTAAATGAAGTGTGTACACGTTAAATGATGCCTAGAAAAAGGCTATGCAAGTCCAGTAGTTCTTTTAAAAAGTTATTTCAAGAGGTTGCCATGTAGACATTTCACTTTCAGTCATTCATTTGTTCTCTTACTTTCTTTCCATATTCATACCATCTTCTGATTCTACCCATCCACCCTCTCTCAGCTGGAAGACTGATTTGTGAAATAGCTTGAGTGTGTCACGCTGAGATACACGGGCATCAGACTCATTCAGGAGCAGACGTGAATACCCTATCACGGTTATGACTTCTAGCACTTTCCCGGTGCTAAGGGATCAAGGCAATGACTGTCGTGTTATTAGGTCAGCAGAGATTTTCATTATTCCCTCCGCAATGCCCTGGGAACTCACGACAAAACCTCCAAGGACAGAAGCACAAGAACCTTCGAAAGAAACACCTAATGGTATACGTCTGATTGGATCCAAGTTATGGGGTAGGCCTCATGTTCATACTCAACAAGCTACCCTTAAAAAATGTTTAAAATAATCATTTTTTGAATTTGCTCTCAAGCTTAGATTCCTACAACTCACAGCTGGCATTGCCGCATACTCATCCTGTGGGTGTATCTGTATCTGAATTGTGGCTCTCGCTATGGGAGAGACTCATTTTGCCTAATTTGGATTTATGATGCAACATATTAGTGTGCCATTTCTTTCTTCCCTACTGAGCTTTATTAAACAAGCATCCTGAGAAATGAAGACAAATCCGAGATGACAGCAATGCTGCTTCAACCTGGCCTCCGCTGGGACAAAACTAGCAGGAAATGGGAAAAGTGCCTGCGGTGAGAAGGAGCAATGGGCCTCGTTTATAAGGATAAAGGCCAATTCAAGACCTCTAAAATGTAAGATTTATCATAATGCACTTCCATAATACCAGGTGTTATTTATTTACTTTATGCTTCTCCCTCATCTCAAATCCACTTCAGAAAACCACCAGTTCAGGCCCACTGCATCATTCATCTGCCTGTTTAAAAGTGTATCTTGTTACAAAGTATTACCTCAGTCTCTAACTATAATAAACTATATAACTATATAAAGCTATTGATCCTTTCTTCAGTTGACTGATTACTCTCATAGTCCTGTGTCACAGTTTTGTGCAGATGACTGTCCACTTATGATGACAGGGTGTCAATTAGCAACCTCAGATAAGAGCTCAGCACGTGAAATTCTGATTCGGATTTTAGAGGTGACTCAGGAGACTTAGGGAGGCACTTATATCGCCATCTTCATCTCAGACCCGGTGCATTTGCATGATACCTGCTAACTGATGGAACTGAGACAAACCGCCCTCGTGCTTTAAGTGAGTCTTGTCAAGGTTGACATAGATGGAGGAGTCCGGTAACCACACAATTGCCTTTGTTCTATTCTCTAGTGAATCTGATACTTGTTCTAACAGACCTCACAGGATTGCTTGGCTGTGAGGGTCGTTATTGGGCTGAGATAAATACGCTGTGTTCGCGTTGTGACTGCTGCTGTGGAGTGGTGTCAGACAGCTGAAGCGTGAGCACTGACCACTACAGTGACCATGAGCTCATGGAAAGAGGACTGTTCATCCATCCCTCTGTCCCTCTCTGACAAACGACTCTGCTGTCTGAGATAACGGACGGATTAAGAAGGAGGCTGATCTTGACCAGGACTGTGCTGGGAGATCTGTTTCAAGGCTTTGATATGATTATATGATTGAGGTAACATACGGTCACATCTCTAGGCCTCCTTCGTGCAGTTATTGCTCAGAGCTGCCCAATAAACTGGACTGCTCGTACTAAATCATACTGTTGCTGTAAAAAGAATTTATTTATTTATTTATTGTTTACACCATTTGAAAACATTTCCATACATTGAAGTTAAGGACATTTCACAATGAACGAACAAATACAAATGGTCCAAAATAACTTGGATTATAATCCATTAATATACATTATAGTTTTGGATGTTTTTCCTGATTCTACCATTTTGAAGATAAGACTTAAAATATTCTTGTATTTCTGCTAAAATAAATAGTTTAGTTATTCGCAGTACTTTCAGCTCCTATGGTTAAGTGTGCTCTTATGTTTCTTTTCTTTTCTCTGTTTTGTGTACCATATTCCACTTTGTGCCTTGCTGTTCCTCAT